TGCTGTTTTTCCCTTCTCTCCTATCATCGCCAGCTCCTTTGCCGTCTCTCTCGGAACTGGCCCTCCTGCAAGACCAAGCCCCAGAATCGGAAAAGCAGGAGTGGAGACTGGCAGGGTGCATCTTGCATCCAGACCACTTGTGGTGCAGCTCTGTTGGCCGCATTGTTGCCCCAGTGGTCTTGCTACCTCACCTTGCCCCCGTGCTCCATGGATTGTTGCACGTTGTCAAAGGGGGGATGGTAGCAATCCTTAAAACAAAATTGGTTTGCTCCCAAATTCGCCCAAGCAGCCAAAGATTACTGTCTGGCTTGCCCTGTCTGCCAAGCCCACAGTGTGGGTAAACCTGTAAAGACAGTTCTGTCAACCAGACCTCCGCCTTTGGGACCATTTCTGAATTTACAAATGAACTTTATTCAATTGCCTTTGAATATGTGCTGGTGATTGTTTGCTTGTTTTCAGGATTGGGGGAAGCTTATCCCTTCAGGAAAGCTGATGCCATCACAGTGGCAAAGAAACTTCTAAATCATTACATCCCATCACGGGGAATACACCTTGTGATCTCCAGTGATAAAGGTACACACTTTACTAGACAAATTGTTCAAAAACTGGCAAAGTACTACTCTATCAGACAAGCACTGCACTGCACATGACACCCAGGAGCAGTAGAGAAACAAAACAGGATTTAAAAAAAAAAAAACTTGCCAAAATATGTGAAAATTCTGGCTTAACTTGGGTAGAATCATTCCTGATTGCTCTACTGAGCATGAGAGCTACTCCTAATCGGAAAACTGGACTCAGTCCACATGAAATTCCATGTGACCGACCTGTGAGATTATTAAGCAGCCCAGAAATGTACCTGGTTGATGCCACACTTATTAAAGGAAGCATAGTCAAGTATTGTCAGGAACTTATGAGGCGTGTACAGTCCTATCATTCACAGGTTAAGGACGCCTTCCAGGAGGCCCCGACTGAGCCGTGCCTTAAACTACAACCAGGAAACTGGGTTTGTGTGAAAGTTCACCAGCGAAAGACTGCCCTGGAACCCAGGTGGAAGGGTCCCTACCAAGTCCTTCTGACCATCCATACTGCTGTAAAGTGCAAGGGATTGCCCACTTGGATTCACACCTTTCACTGAAAACTGGTTCCAGCGCCTACAGAGGTTGGCCCCAACAAGGAGCACTGCAGACCTGGTACTAGAGACCCAGGTCCAGAAGCAGACGGGGATCAGCGCAGACCTGGTACTAGAGACCCAGGTCCAGAAGCAGACGGGGATCAGCGCAGACCTGGTACTAGAGACCCAGGTCCAGAAGCAGACGGGGATCAGCGCAGACCTGGTACTAGAGACCCAGGTCCAGAAGCAGACGGGGATCAGCGCAGACCTGGTACTAGAGACCCAGGTCCAGAAGCAGACGGGGATCAGCGCAGACCTGGTACTAGAGACCCAGGTCCAGAAGCAGACGGGGATCAGCGCAGACCTGGTACTAGAGACCCAGGTCCAGAAGCAGACGGGGATCAGCGCAGACCTGGTACTAGAGACCCAGGTCCAGAAGTAGACGGGGATCAGCGCAGGCTTGGTACCGGCAATCCAGGCCCAGAAGCAGACAATCCTAAGAGACCGAGGCTAAGGTACCAGCTGCGGCCCAGAAGAACCTGCAAGTGATAGGTGAAGCAAACTACGAAGTCCTGAAGAACAGCCAGCATGAGGCTGGACAAACAATTCATGTTGAGCTTATGCTTAATCTTGTTTTTAATACCTAGCAATTATAACCTATATGGTTCAAATGTGTTTATGCTTTTAATGAACCAAGTTTCCCAGGGATTTAATTCCACAGGTTGCTGAATATGTGCTCACAGTCCTGTACATTCAGAAGGAGGCATCCCAATGATTCCAGTCCCACTAAACAACACTCAAATATGGCACATCATTTAGTGAACTAAAGCCAAATGATACTTGGCAGGATAAAGGGTTTACTAACTCAGGGTATATCCGCCTAGCCCTGACCCCAGTTGGAAAGTACTGCTGGACATGCAATGGTTCAGGAGCCAGGGTGGGAAAAAAACCCAAACCGAATGGCTCTAGACTACGTCCTAGCTAGTAAGGGCGGGATCTGAGCCTTAGTGGGAAGAGAATGCTGTGTGTATATCACTGACACCAGCAAGGAAGTAGAGGAAGATGAGTCAGAGATTGAAAGAACTGTGGAAAGCCTAAGACAGGAGGAAAACTGGACCCTCTGGGGTTGGTTGGGAGGCTGGTTTGGACATGTGGGAACTTGGATTTTGCAAGGAGTAGTTGTAGTATTGGCTATATTCTTTTGCGCTTATTGCTGTTTCTTGTTAATCAATTGCTGTATTTCTTGTATTCTGGAAAACACAAGACAGACCCTTACCAAAGGGAATGTGGAACTCTTGATGTTAAAATAGGATGAGCAGAGAAAGGAACAAGAACTGTACATAAATACGTTAATGGAAATGGAGGTATAAAATGGTTTCAAGGTTAGCCTTTTAAAGGCTAAAAGGGGGGAGTTGTAGAAGCTGTAGAAACCATTTTCATATTTAGCTAGAAGCCATCTTGTATAACAGAAACCATTTCAGCTTTTCTCTCAAGCACGTAGACCAGAGTGAACTTTCTGTCACCCCGTGAGAACAGGCCTACAGGATGGGCTATTGGTATGTGTTCATTGGGCTGGTTGGGACAGGAGATGTACTCCCTCGTACCTGTCCGCCATCTTGTTGATAAGGCTTTGTTTTTCCAAGTTGAATTGAGGATTTCTGTAATGGGATGCCCTGACGTCAGACTGTTTGGTTAAGGGTATAAGATGCTAGGATTGATTGTATTAGCAGCCTTCCTGGGCCCGGCTTTGCTGGGACCACGTTTGGCTCATGCTGTGCTTTATTAATTAATAAAGCTGTTTGTTAGCTGCCTAAACAGAGAGGAGTGTTTTTTTGCTTCAACACTTACATCTGCACTGCTACTGCTGCTGGCTCTGCTTTCAGAGCTGGGCTTCTGACCAGCAGCCACCAATCACCAGCTGCCCAGAAGTAAGAGTAGTAGCACCGCAACTCTGCCCTGCAATAATCTTATGACACCCCCAACCCCACATACACACATAACACATTTGTGGGTCAGGACCCCTACGTTCACAGCACCGTGACATTTGAGATTTAAACAGCGGAAATCCCAAAATTCACCATTTGAAATTCTGCCATTTCAAATCGTGCCTTTTGTTCCAGGCAAGGAACATTTGGAAGTTACCAGCAGCATGAGATTTTCCAAAACAAAATTAGCTTGTGGCAAGACAGAGCATTCTGGTATCACACAGACAGGTGGGGTTCTGCTTTGGAATGGCTTACGTCGATCTACGTAAACTTAGCACTTAATACAGAAGTATAATCACACAATGTCCTCTCTCGTGTCCTTTCGCCCAGGCTAGACTGGCAAGTCAACCGGGAAAGTCTTTTCAAAAGGGACAAGGAAACAACCCAGCATCCCAGTTCCTGTTTCAACAAAACTGCCCGCCAATATTTTGTGAGCAGCCTGTGATAGGGTGTGACTCACGCCTGCAGCGCCTCCTGCTGGCTGCCCGGGATGTTAGCGTTGGGCCCACTTCTGGCGGCATCTCACCTACTGTCACCTCTGTTCCAGGACCCGTGTCTTCCCAACCACTGCCGCCCCTTCTCCGCCCTTGCCTCAGAGCCTCAGCATGGTACCAGTCAGCTGTCTTGTTCCGGGGTTCCTGGACAGCTCTGCGCTATCCAAGGTCCTGGCAGCCTCTCTGAGCACCCAAGGGAGAACTACCTCCTCTGCCCTGCAGCTCTCTTTATATAGATAGGCCTACTTGGCCCTGATTGGCTGCTCCCCTCAGCCCTTCTCTGATTGGATGCCTTCTGTGCAGCCTCTCTCAGGCTGCTTTTAACCCCTTTTCTGCCTGTGCGGGGGAAGATGTCCTATCGCACAGCCTTAATATTAACTAGATTTATCCAGCGTTGCTCGGGTCCTTAACTCAAACACATTCTGTTTTTCTTCATTGAAATCGTTGCACTGGGGATGCGGGGTTCAGTAGGCAGGCTGGCCCAGAGAGAGAGGCCCACTCCAACCTTCTCTTACCCCAACAGCTTGGGGACAGGTAAAAAGTACCTCTCCATGGCTACTGCAGCAGACCCAGCTGGGGGATACAGACACACAAACTCTCTGAAATATACAGTAGATAGCTGTTTCTTTCGACCCTGACTCCCAGCTGGCCCTATAGCTGTCCTGGTGCCCATCTCTGACTCCTTGCTGCTCCCATGTGGTCATTCTGCAGTAAAACCGTCCCTGCTACCAGATCCCTCCCTTGTCATTATAGGAGAAACAATCAAAATCTGGCACTTCCCATGGTCCTGGGACAACCAAATCCTGACTGTGCTATAACATTTCCTCGTTAATCACTCCATATGTCGTTTACTATAGAACTGTCTACTAGCTTTGTCTTTGGTGTAAGATCGAAGGTGCCTCTGACCTGCGATGAGGGACTTATTCCTTGGGACTGGGAGTAACCTGAATATTTGTCTCAGGGCGTACCCATGTTCGTCTGTAACTTTAAAAACAGCGAGTAGTCCTGTGGCACCGGAGAGACTCCCACAACTATATAGGGTCATGAGCTGTCATGGGGAGGGGGAGAGGAGCAGTGAAATTACAGCGCTCCCAGCCAATTCAGGGTTTGTGCCTCACTTCCTCACAGTCTGTCCAGAGATCAGCAGCAACGCCGACAGCGTGACAGAGGAACACAAATGCACCATCTTAAGAGAAGCTGGTCATGGGCGGGCTGTACCGTGGGAACCCCATGGTGAAAGGGCTCATAATGTGGGTCACTTACCTGACTCCAGGCCCCCTTGCACCACAGCAAATTTCAGGCTCATCTGAGTAAATGGGGAGATTTCTGACACCAGAAGAGTCGTCTCAGTCTCGCCCGGCGGGAAGGGTTCCTTCTGGGAGCCAAGGAGTTTGCGGGGGGAGCTGCCTTCTGGGGGCTCTAAAACAGGGGGTTGGTTCCCAGGCGCAGCTCCTGTCTGCTAGGGGAGCAGAGCGTGGGGCCGGGGGCTCTGTCCCCCATTGCGAGCTCTGTGCCCCATCCCTGGGGATCCGGGCTGTCTGCTCAGGGGATCCCCACCCAGGGAGTGGGGATGGTAGTTCTAGAGGTGGGGAGAGGAACCCCTGGATGAAGTAAAACCCAAACTGTGCCATAGGCTGCCAGCAGGGAACCATCCCTGATGAGGAGCAGCCTTTGGAGATCCAGCACCCCCAGGGGAAGATGCGGCTGCAGGATGCTCTCAAGCTTTATTGGCAGCAATCGCAAGGCAGAGACTTGGCAAAAAGCGGCACCCACAGAATGGAACAAGCCCAAAGCCTCCAAGGACAGGGCAAGAAGCAATGGGCTTAAACTGGAGCAAGGGAAGTTTAGGTTGGACATTAGGAAAAACTTCCTGCCTTCCGGGGGGTATGTCTACACTACCCCGCTAGTTCGAACTAGCGGGGTAATGTATGCATACCGAACTTGCTAATGAAGCCCGGGATTTGAATTTCTCGGGCTTCATTAGCATAAAGCCGGCGCCGCCATTTTTAAAAGCCGGCTAGTGCGAACCCCGTGCCGCGCGACTACACGCGGCACGTGCTAGATAGTTCGAACTAGCTAGCTATTCCGAACTATCTGTACGCCTCGTGGAACGAGGCGTACAGATAGTTTGGAATGGCTACGTAGTTCGAACTATCTAGCCCGTGCCGCGTGTAGCCGCGTGTAGCCATTTGACTTGTTTATTCGCACGCTGCTGGGTAATGGCCACGAATCAACTGTAAGTTTACTTGCAAAGGCCTTTCACAACCCTTTCGCAATGCATCTGTCAAGAAAAACACAAAAAAATAAAAGAAATCAGTCTTAGCCCTGTATTTATCACACCGCTCTTGCTAAGCCTGATTCATACAGGATACATGAGGTCCTGCCGGCCTTGCACTACTGGCATACTATTAAATATATCAAGAAAAGGATAGGAGAGTAAAGGAAAGATATACCATAAATTAGCGTATACAACCCGCATCCATATATAACCCGCACCCTTGTATTACCGGAGATTTTTCTATCCTGTGTAAAAAAAATTATAGACTACCCGCGGACGTGTATAACCCGCAGAGACTTCTACAGCAGCCCCAGGCACTTGAGCAGCAGTGCGTAGAGAGCAGACACAAGGCCACGGCCATCCTGCTGTCGGCGAGCTGGCCGGCCTGCCGGAGGGGAGCCACACTTGTGCCCTGCACAGCCGCAACCAGGCGCCACCCACCCTCCTCTGGGTGGGGAGAATGCAAAGCGCAGCGCAGACGCGCTGGAAACTCATCAGTTCTAATGGGGGGCAGAGCCACTTAGGGGACCTGATGCTTCTGGTGTAAAAATCGATTTATATAAGACGCGGACACGTATACACTGCGGGGCGGGGTTTGTAAAAAAGGGTTTAACTCGCAGGCTATATATAGTAATTTATGGTATCTTAGCAGGTGATAGGTTCCCGGTTCTGCTCCATCATTTACATCTTCCCCGCCAGGCAGGGGTTGTTCTGAGGCTCCGCCGCCGCGCAGTCCCTGCAGCCGTTGTTGTCACAGCGCAGCAAGGGGACGTTACGCAGCCGGTGCCAGGCATCCAGCAGACCCTGGCAGGTCACTCCATTCTTCAGATCGTAGTCGAAGATTTGCTGGAAGACGAAGGCCTTGTAGTTGTTGTCGAGGGGGCGGAAGGCGTCGCTGGTCATCTGCACGATGTTGTCCCGCCCGGCCTGGCGCAGGCACTTGGTGGAGCAGGGCGAGTTGAAGCTGAATAAGATCAGGCAGCTGTTCTGGCCGAAGGTCCTGTTTTTCAGCTGGGCCACGAGGCTGTTCTGATCTCCGTGGAGCAGACGCCACTCGCTGTGCTCCGTGTAGTTCCTGTTGAGAGTGGCCACGTTCTTTGGACGGGCGGCCACTATGTTCCCATCGGGGGGGTTGTACAGGTCTCCAAACTGGCGAATGCTCCGTCTCATTTCTGCCAGCTTGTCCCGGGGCAGATAGGTGGACACATCCTGGGGGTTGCGGCAGGTGCCGTGGGGCAGTGTGGCCGCGAAGGCGTATTGCTTGTTAACTCCCCCATTCCTGAAAGAGCACGACACAGAGGGGCCAGAGGTCACCATGTGAGCCGGCAGGTGCCAAGCAAAAGGAGGAGAAGGAGGAATAGCCCCTAAAGAAAACATCCCGGTTCTGGGCTCCTTCTCCTCCCTCATTCCCCAGAAAGAACTTAAGAACGACCAGGATCACCCTTAGAAAAGGGATGGGCCGTGATCTAATGCAGGGCCAGGGTACCCCTGCAAGGCTGTGCTCTCTCTGCCCTCATTTCAGTGTCTCTAGAGCCTGGCACCATAGCAGCCCCCTGCTCTCAGGCAGGGGATGGGCAGAGCCAGGCACCGTTGAAACCCCTGACCCGTTGGGACAGCCTGCCAGCTGGAGGGACACAGCCAGGGCCATTCCCCGCTGCTCTTCGCAGCCGGGTGACAGGGCCAGGGCCAGGGCCAGGCAGAGAGACACCCTCCCCCCCAAACTGGTCACTCACCGAGTCACATGATCCACGATCTCTCTAAGTGCATCCGGGTTGATGCTCCCGGCGGTCTCTGGCCCGAAGCAGAGGAGAAGGGGCAGCAGCAGGAGTCCGGCCCTGGCCATCCGGCCCGGCACCTGCACAGACCCCACAGTTTCAGCACCCCCATACCCTGGGCACAAACCCAGACACTCTCCCAACCCACATCCCCCAGCCCCTGCCATGCTACCGACAGGAAGTGGGGGGAGCAGAGGTCTAGAAGCAAACGTCCTATTTCTTATTTGTAGTAATATTTTAAGCATTCAAGTTTGAATGTACCGAGTCTGAATATGTTTGTTTAAATTACTCTGAAGTACAAATACCTTTAGATTTTTATTGTTGCTGCTGTTATAGACTTGATTTAGAATTCTTTGATTGAGAAGTAGGGTAGAAAGAGATTTGGATTATTTTGGTTTTAGTTTTAAAGCAGATATTATCATAGAATATAGTGGAAACATGTAATGATTTGCTTTAAAAAAATTTTTTTGCTTATGTAACCCCCAAGGGGATTACCTAGATTCCTGGGGCTCTGCCTGCTGGCAGCTCAGGGAGAGGCAAACTGAGTTTGTCTTGGCTCCCCCTCCATACCAGAGACAGAGTCTGCCCGGCAATCCACAGGGTGTGAGAGAGAGTTCAGGAGGGGGGAGAGAAGCCATTATCTGAGGAGTCTGGAGCCAGCCAGGGCAAGGGGAGGACTGGCTGTTTGGGAGCTAGTAAGCCCCAGGCCTGCATGCAGGGATCCCCCTGAGAACTAGCCTCTAGGGACCTGAAAGCAAGACCCCTCAGCTGGGTTTTATTTCTCCACTGTTGATTCCCAGTTTATGGAGTCTGCCCATTCGGGGCTGCTGCCTGCTGTGTGTGTGTGGGTCTGAATGCTGGGGTAGGAGATTAGAGTTTGAATTTTAGTGCAGTTGTGTGGCCTGCACCTTGAACCTCGCACCCCTTTGTGGTGAGGGGAATCCTGGGACCGAGGCAGCCTGATTCCTGCCTGAAGAGCATCCCTGCCAGAAGAGACTGAGTCATCGCTGAACCTGAGCCTCATTCATGGAGTGTGTGAGTGCACCGTCTTTTAGTTAGCAAGTCAGGGAATTTGTTTGATGATTTTATAACCTGCTGCATATTAAACCTATGGAAGGATTTACCACTTGTGAATCCTTTGGGCTGTACTGGACCCAGTCAGCCTCACTGCTAAACCTCTGCAGAGAAGAAATTTGTGGTCATAAGTCATCAAGGGCCCCATTCTGCAGTAAAACCGTCCCTGCTACCAGATCCCTCCCTTGTCATTATAGGAGAAACAATCAAAATCTGGCACTTCCCATGGTCCTGGGACAACCAAATCCTGACTGTGCTATAACATTTCCTCGTTAATCACTCCATATGTCGTTTACTATAGAACTGTCTACTAGCTTTGTCTTTGGTGTAAGATCGAAGGTGCCTCTGACCTGCGATGAGGGACTTATTCCTTGGGACTGGGAGTAACCTGAATATTTGTCTCAGGGCGTACCCATGTTCGTCTGTAACTTTAAAAACAGCGAGTAGTCCTGTGGCACCGGAGAGACTCCCACAACTATATAGGGTCATGAGCTGTCATGGGGAGGGGGAGAGGAGCAGTGAAATTACAGCGCTCCCAGCCAATTCAGGGTTTGTGCCTCACTTCCTCACAGTCTGTCCAGAGATCAGCAGCAACGCCGACAGCGTGACAGAGGAACACAAATGCACCATCTTAAGAGAAGCTGGTCATGGGCGGGCTGTACCGTGGGAACCCCATGGTGAAAGGGCTCATAATGTGGGTCACTTACCTGACTCCAGGCCCCCTTGCACCACAGCAAATTTCAGGCTCATCTGAGTAAATGGGGAGATTTCTGACACCAGAAGAGTTGTCTCAGTCTCGCCCGGCGGGGAGGGTCCCTTCTGGGAGCCAAGGAGTTTGCAGGGGGAGCTGCCTTCTGGGGGCTCTAAAACGGGGGGTTGGTTCCCAGGCGCAGCTCCTGTCTGCTAGGGGAGCAGAGCGTGGGGCTGGGGGCTCTGTCCCCCATTGCGAGCTCTGTGCCCCATCCCTGGGGATCTGGGTTGTCTGCTCAGGGGATCCCCACCCAGGGAGTGGGGATGGTAGTTCTAGAGGTGGGGAGAGGAACCCCTGGATGAAGTAAAACCCAAACTGTGCCATAGGCTGCCAGCAGGGAACCATCCCTGATGAGGAGCAGCCTTTGGAGATCCAGCACCCCCAGGGGATGAGATGAGACCCCCCCCCCAGCATATGGACAGAGATGGGAGACATGGACACACAGATGCGGCTGCAGGATGCTCTCAAGCTTTATTGGCAGCAATCGCAAGGCAGAGACTTGGCAAAAAGCGGCACCCACAGAATGGAACAAGCCCAAAGCCTCCGAGGACAGGGCAAGAAGCAATCGGCTTAAAGTGCAGCAAGGGAGGTTTAGGTTGGGCATTAGGAAAAACTTTCTACTTGTCAGGGTGGTTAAACACTGGAATAAGTGGCCTAGGGAGGTTGTGGAATCACCATCCCTGGAGATATTTAAGAGCAGGTTAGACAAACACCTGTCAGGGATGGTCTAGATCAGTGTTTCTCAACCGTTTTTTATAAAGTATCCCTATACAAAAATGTGTAAGTACCGCCAGTACCAATAGTTTTCACACACACATTTTTTTTCTACTGTTGCAACACATTTGTTTAAACAACTTAATTGTAGCCAGGCGGGCGATGAAATTTTTGGGAGTAAAAAGTACAAAAATAATAAAGCGCTGTGAAACTTACAACAAAAATTCAGTTGTCTCCACATTTCAGTTGTGTTGACTTACCCTCCCCCCTGACTTCTCTCGAGTACCCCTTAATCGATCTTGCTGTACTTGATCTTGCTGTGAGGACAGGAGACTGGAGTCGATGACCTGTCGCGATTCCTTCCAGTTCTAGTATTCTATGATTCTTGGACTGATTTCCAGAACGAAGAAAAGGGCTGGAAATGTTGCAGTTAGGTACCAGGAAAGCTGTTCTCTCAAGTTTTGCTGCACTTCGCAGATTTGACTTACGTTTATTCCTGCAATATTGAGTAATGGTCATGAATCAACTGTAAGTTTACTTGCAAAGGCCTTTCACAACCCTTTCGCAATGCATCTGTCAAGAAAAACACAAAAAAATAAAAGAAATCAGTCTTAGCCCTGTATTTATCACACCGCTCTTGCTAAGCCTGATTCATACAGGATACATGAGGTCCTGCCGGCCTTGCACTACTGGCATACTATTAAATATATCAAGAAAAGGATAGGAGAGTAAAGGAAAGATATACCATAAATTAGCGTATACAACCCGCATCCATATATAACCCGCACCCTTGTATTACCGGAGATTTTTCTATCCTGTGTAAAAAAAATTATAGACTACCCGCGGACGTGTATAACCCGCAGAGACTTCTACAGCAGCCCCAGGCACTTGAGCAGCAGTGCGTAGAGAGCAGACACAAGGCCACGGCCATCCTGCTGTCGGCGAGCTGGCCGGCCTGCCGGAGGGGAGCCACACTTGTGCCCTGCACAGCCGCAACCAGGCGCCACCCACCCTCCTCTGGGTGGGGAGAATGCAAAGCGCAGCGCAGACGCGCTGGAAACTCATCAGTTCTAATGGGGGGCAGAGCCACTTAGGGGACCTGATGCTTCTGGTGTAAAAATCGATTTATATAAGACGCGGACATGTATACGCTGCAGGGCGGGGTTTGTAAAAAAGGGTTTAACTCGCAGGCTATATATAGTAATTTATGGTATCTTAGCAGGTGACAGGTTCCCAGTTCCGCTCCATCATACGCAGCCGGTGCCAGGCATCCAGCAGACCCTGGCAGGTCACTCCATTCTTCAGATCGTAGTCGAAGATTTGCTGGAAGACGAAGGCCTTGTAGTTGTTGTCGAGGGGGCGGAAGGCGTCGCTGGTCATCTGCACGATGTTGTCCCGCCCGGCCTGGCGCAGGCACTTGGTGGAGCAGGGCGAGTTGAAGCTGAATAAGATCAGGCAGCTGTTCTGGCCGAAGGTCCTGTTTTTCAGCTGGGCCACGAGGCTGTTCTGATCTCCGTGGAGCAGACGCCACTCGCTGTGCTCCGTGTAGTTCCTGTTGAGAGTGGCCACGTTCTTTGGACGGGCGGCCACTATGTTCCCATCGGGGGGGTTGTACAGGTCTCCAAACTGGCGAATGCTCCGTCTCATTTCTGCCAGCTTGTCCCGGGGCAGATAGGTGGACACATCCTGGGGGTTGCGGCAGGTGCCGTGGGGCAGTGTGGCCGCGAAGGCGTATTGCTTGTTAACTCCCCCATTCCTGAAAGAGCATGGCACAGAGGGGCCAGAGGTCACCATGTGAGCCAGCAGGTGCCAAGCAAATGGGAGAGAAGGAGGAATAGCCCCTAAAGAAAACATCCCGGCTCCAGGCTCCTTCTCCCCCCACATTCCCCAGAAGGAATATAAGAACGGCCAGGATCACCCCTAGAATGGAGGCGGGACATGAGCTAACGCAGGGGGCGGGGCATCCCTGCCAGGCTGGGTGCTCTTGACCCTCATTTCGGTGTCTCTGGAGCCTGGCATGGTAGCAGCCCCCTGCTCTCAGGTGGCGTCTGGGTAGAGCCAAGTACCGTAGGGCCCCCTAACCCCTTGGGGCAGCCTGCCAGCTGGAGGGACACAGCCAGGGCCATTCCCTACGCCAAGATGGTCACTCACAGATTAACATGATCCACGATCACTCTGAGAGCAGCCAGCCCGATGCTCCCGGTGGTCTCTGGCCCGAAGCAGAGGAGAAGGGGCAGCAGCAGGAGTCCGGCCCTGGCCATCCGTCCTGGCACCTGCACAGACCCCTCAGTGTCAGTGCCCTCAGACACTGGGCACAAACCCAGACACACCCTCAACCCACATCCCCCAAGCCCTGCCGTGCTATTGACAGGAATGAGAGGCAGAGGTCTAGTAGAAAAAAATCCTATTTCTTATTTGTAATGATATTTTAAGCATTCTAGTTTTAATGTACCAAGTTTGAATATGTTTTTTTTAATTTCTTTGAAGTAGAAATAGCTTTAGATTGTTGTAGTTGCTGTTATAGAAATGAGTTAGAATTCTTTGATTGAGAAGTATTGCATAAATAGGTTTTGATTATTTTGTTTTTACTTTTTAAGTAGATATTATCATAGAATATAGTGGAAACATAAAATGATTTGCTTTTTTAAAAAAAAAAAAACTTATAATTCTTGTTTTTGTATTTGTTGTGTGGGAGAGTAAGGAATATGTGAGCGGTATGGATGAAGGACACCAGTGAAAACCATTATCTTTAAAAACTCATGGAAATCGGGAGAGATCCCGGATGATCAGAAAAAGGTAAATGTAGTACCCATCTTTAAAACAGAGAAGGACAATGCAGGGAATTACAGACCAGCCAGCCTTACTTCTTTCCCCGGAAAAATCATAGATGGGATCCTCAAGAAATCTATTTTGAAGCACTTGGAAGTGGGGAAAGTGATCAGGAATAGTCAGCATGGATTCACCAAGGACAAGTCATGCCTGGCCAATCTGATTAGCTTCTATGATGAAGTAACTGGCTCTGTGGACATGGAGAAGACAGTGGATGTGATATACCTTGACTTTAGCAAAGCTTTTGATACGGTCTCCCACAATATTCTTGCCAGTAATTTAAGGGAGCATGGTTTGGATAAATGGACTGTAAGATGGATAGAAAGCTGGCTAGATTGTCGGGCCCAACAGGTAGTGATCAAGGGCTCAACATCTGGCTGGTGGTCAGTTTCAAGTGGGATGCCCCAAAGATCTGTTCTAGGACCGGTTTTGTTCAACATTTGTATTAATAACTCGGATGAGGGGATGGATTGCACCCTGAGCAAGTTTGCAGATGACACTAAGTTAGGGGTAGATAAGTAGATATGCTGGAGGGCAGGGATAGAGTCCAGAGTGACCTGAACAAATTGGAGGATTGGGCCAAAAGAAATCTGATGAGGTTCAAGAAGGACAAGTGTAGAGTCCTGCCCTTGGGGCGGAAGAATCCCAAACATTGTTACAGGCTGGGGACTGACTCGCTAAGTAGCAGTTCTGCAGAAAAGGACCTGGGGGTTACAGTGGATGAGAAACTGGATATGTGTCAACAGTGGGGCCTTGTAGCCAAGAGAGTTAATGGCATGGTAGGATACATTAGGAGGAGCATTGCCAAAAGATCTAGAGAAACGAGGAGGAGTCCTGTAGCACCTTATAGACTCAGGGTATGTCTACACTACAAAGTTAATTTGAACTAACAGTCGTTAGTTCGAATTAACTTTAATAGGGGCTACACATACAAACCGCTATTTCGAATTTAATTTAATTCGAACTAGCTGAGCGCTTAATTCGCACTAGAAGAACCTCATTCTGTGAGGACTAACGTCTAGTTCGAATTAAGAAGTTCGAATTAAGGGCTGTGTAGCCACTTAATTTGAACTAGTGGGAGGCTAGCCCTTCCCAGGTTGCCCTGGTGGCCACTCTGGGCCAAACCAGGGAAACTCTTCTGCCCCCATCCCGGCCCCGGAGCCCTTAAAGGGGCACGGTCTGGCTATAGTGCTCGTACCAGTTGCAAGCCTGCCAGCACCCAGCAAGTATACCCTGCACCTGACATGGGATGAGCCAGCCACCCGCTGCCACCCAGCCCTCCACCTCTTCCAAGGACCAGGCTGGCGGCTCCCAGGAGCCTGCCCGGGGCCGTAAGAGGTGGGCGCCCACCTGGTCTAGTGAGGAGATCGTGGACCTCATCGAGGTTTGGGGGGAGGCCTCCAACGTCCACGATCTCCGCACTAACCACAGG